AAACATAGGCTGTGAATTAATCAAAATTGATCACTATTTCCAAAACTGACTGAAAAAATACCAAATAAAACAAAAGTAAATGAATGCCATCCTCCTTGCGATGATGCCCTGGGCAACTGCCATAAAGTCACATCAAGAAATGCTGCTGATCATTCCAATGATCCCAAATAGACTCACATTAGGCCACATGAAAGCAACTGAACCCAAAAATATATTAACCAGTATATAACTGCACTCTCACACAACACGCCTGCAGCAACAGTTAGGACTCCTCCCTCCCTTTTAAAAGCGTTTTTGCTTCTGAGGACATTGTGGTTGTAAAACCACATGCTAGTAGTCTGGCCCCGGTGTGATCAACCAGTTTCTGCGGGAATGTGACGGCGGAACCAGGGCCAGATTAACACTTTGTTGTACCCTGGGCAACAATATTTAAGGGCCCCATCATCACGACCCAAGGATCACCATAATGTGGTCACATACAGAATATTTTACTGTGATATGCAGTAAATATACTCAATACTTGAATGCCTGACAACACGTAACCCGCCCAGAGTAACCTTTGACCCACCTCGTGTGGACTGACCAATGAGGAGAGGGTCTTAACTTGAGGCCCTCTCTTCATTGGTCAGTCTGCATGAGACTGACTCTCAACTGACGTTCAGTCGTAGGCAGCGAAGCGTCTCTGTGCAGTGCAAAAGCCCGGGTGGACAGTTTGTTTAATGTAGGGTGATCATATTTCCATTTCCAAACAAGAGGACAGGGGATCTGTGCCTATGACGTCACACTATGGCAACGCCACACAAACCATGTTGGGACCCATTTTTTGTAAGAACTAAATTAATATCAGATTCTGCCAATTAAAGGGCTCTAAAACAATTCATATGTAAATATTTTGCATATTTAATGCAAAATCTAATTTTTCTGCTTTAGTGCTGCAACAAGGTTTTATTAATAATAAATTATTATACCTTTTGTTTTACTACAGCATCGGTAAGCTTCCTGTGCAAAGATTATTAAGGATGCTTGTTTCAGCTGTGAGATTAGACGATAGGGTCAATGAAAAAATAAGTTGTCACACACTCCATGGAAACTTTCAGAGAATCCACAAATAGTGGCTTTCAAATGGTTTTGTTACTTTTAGCAGGTTTAGAAAAGCAGCAGATGAGACAGCATGTCTGATAATTTAGTTTTTCATCTGATAATATTAGAACATGTCAGTAATGTCTGAGGGGCTTTTATAAACACCATATAACTAACACTACTGGAGAGGGCATGAATTACACAGAGGCTTCTGGGGAGCCCAGTTATTGGGGGGGGGGGGGGGGGGGGGGGGGGGGGGCATTTCGCCTTGGCTCCCAAAATGTCTTGAAACGGCCCTGGGTGTGTGACTGAGTTTTGAAGGTGATCTGAATTGTATCAGATGTATAAATATGACATGTGTATAACTTATTGTTTTTTACTGGTAAAAACGTGTCGTGGAGATAAATCTACCTACATTTGACTTTTCAACACTTTGTTTTGTTTTCTTGTTTTTATTTAACTATTTTCCTGTCCTGTCTGTCTCTCATCTTCCTGCATCTCCTCTTAATTCTCCAGAAAATCTGTTGCCTGGATTCTTAACTTTTCACCTCATCAGTTACTTTTGAGCAGATCAAAGGGATCTCCTGACCGAAAAGCGCAGAGCGCGTTTTCGATGCTGCGTGAGGTGACATCACCACAGCAGAGGTGATGAGCTCCACAGTAGCGAGCTTCAGGCACAAATAAGACAGAAAATAGAGAACATGTGCGGACATGAACGATCGTGTGCTAATTATAGTTTTTTGGTTGCGCCACTTTGAGAATGGACCGTGCGCTGGAAGCAGCTGCCTGGATCGCTGCGCGACAATGCGGAACCGGTTCGCAGCAGCGCAAGTCTGCCGGCTCTCCCTCGCGCTGATCTGCCGGTACCGGCTCTCCCTCGCGCTGATCTGCCGGCTCTCCCTCGCGCTGATCTGCGGCTCTCCCTCGCGCTGATCTGCCGGCTCTCCCTCACGCTGATCTGCCGGCTCTCCCTCACGCTGATCTGACTTGCTCTGGTCTGCGCGCAACGGCGGGCAGGAAGGGGGGGGGGGGGGGCGCTTTTGGAAGAGTTGTGCGACACAACGAATCGATGACGCAATTCGTTGCCAACGCTTTTAGTAATCGATTTTCATCGAATTTATCGATTCGTTGTTGCAGCCCTACTTCAGAATAAAATATTTATTTCCAGCCGATCTGGCGTTGATCAGCGCAAAGCGAGCCGACTGAGTATCCAATTGTAGAGAAAGTCCAGTTCCATCAGATCTTGCAACATAACGCAGGTTGGCGGGATTTCTTCCCCGCTGAATGAGCCGGCCAGAACGAGAGCAGCCGAAACGCGAGTGGGCACCCGGCTGGTGAAACATCCTCACATCACACGCACTCATGAAGCTCTCCGCTCCGAGAGCTCCCAGCCGGCAGGACATCCTCATTTCAGACGCATCCATGGAACATTCGGCTCCGTGTGCTCCCGGTAGTAGCGAGACCGGCCCAGCACGGCCGAGATGACGCTGGATCCGCCACATCACAGTCGCGGAGCAGCAATCAGATATGGCTTCGCCACACCGAATCCTACGGAGCTGAACGAAGAAGCCGCCTCGTTTCCCCCGCTTCTTCCTCCACGGTCTCCGAGGCAGCGGCAAACCAACAGGCAACATAAGCCCGAAGGCTTGGTCAGCGTCAGTCTCCAACGCCGGTGGAAAAGGGTGTCCGGTATTAGAGTACCGAGGTTGTCCATTCCAGACCGGATCGAGAGCAGGAAGTCCCGATCATACGCCAGCCGAAAATCAGCACCATATATGGAACAAACCATAAAATAGAAAAGAAAAACAAAAAAGGTCAGGAGCCGAGCAGACACGCAGCCGACCAAGGACGCCATCTTGCTTCTCAGGGATGACACCTCATGGGAGGGGTGAGTGTTTCGTGTTTGCATTAAAATCCTAGCGTGTTCTGTACAGTGTTGCCAGATGTACGATAATTATCGTATTTGTACCATAATTTTGGGCTCTGTACGATGTACGATCAATAGTTTCAAAAATCCTCAAATGTACGATAATTTCACATTGCATCTAGTAACACCGTCTTTTGCTGTGGCTTTCCCAAGTCAATTACATAATTTTAAACTGTTCTGAAGTCAGATTTCACCTCAGTGCTTACAGGTTTATAAATGTCTCCTACAAACTAATGAAAAAGAGAAGTTTGAAAATGATGTGAAAAACGCTGAAATCAAGCTATGTGGCTTTTTAGCCCAGCACAACATTGCAATGAGAAGCACAGACCACTTAGTACAGGTGATTAAAGGCATTCTGCTGTGACAGACAGTGAATCAGATGAGGAGATCGAGATCAGCAACTAGGTGAGTAGGCTGCTGTGTCATTTATTGGGTCAGTTTTTCCAATGCTGTGATGTTTTGTTGCGTGCTTTTAACCTATGTAGAAATGAAATAAATAGGACTGCGCAAATGTGCATATTGTGTCAATGCGTGGAGGTCGGAGTGGTGCCGAGACACTCTGCACGTTTATAGGCATTATATTACTGGTTTTAAAGATGTTTATTAAAACAGGGCAATATAAAACACCTTCTTTGTTATATTATATTGGAGTGAGAAGTCGTTTATAGAACGTTATTATCAAATTTATAATGTACGATAATTTGTACTGAAAAACGATAATTTAAGCCTCTCTGTACGATATTGTGGGATTTTGGATCTGGCAACACTGGTTCTGTAGATCCGCTATAGCAGCTTTAATTGTTGCTTTGGGAGTGTTTAGCTTCCATTCATGCGCCACCCTGATGCAAAACACTACATATTATAAAACAAATAAAATTCCAAATATCATGAGCTGATGTGGGGATTTCTTTTTATTGTCGGGAATCCCTGATTAAAATTTAAAGCCATTTTCTCAGTGAGCTGAGCTTCTGAGCCATTTGTGACAAAAGTCAAAAGGAAACCTAAACCAACACAATAGAACGCTCACACCACATCTTTGACAGCACGGCCTTTATGGGCCATGCACACGATTGTTAAAGTAACATGCTGGTAAGCTTTTGTTGCGAGAGCCTGAATGACAGACCAGAACTTTACTTGTTTGCACAACTAACACAGGACTCTGCTGGTCCCTTCCAGTGTCCCTGAAAGGAGCTCGTTCCAGATTTGTCCAAATGTAAACCCTGTAACCTAGTCAGTAACTGGAGAACCCTGTTGGATGCAGCAGATCCACGCATTTCTTTATCACGTACAAGAACACATCCTATTGTGTGTTAAACAGGAACAAGAGCATGACAACAGTGTTTCAGTGGAGGAAAATGCACCCTTCTAACAGTGAAGGTTGCAAGGGGAAAGCAACAGCCCTCTCGCGGTTAACTGATAGAAAACAAGAGTTTAAGGTTTGAAAATGTCAACATGCAGAAACAACCATAAACACCTCCTGTTAGCATCGATGTGGAGGCTTCCTGTCTGTTAGCCAGCTGTGGCTTGACTGGATACACCTTTTTCTGAAACAAGGATGCTAAATTCTAACTGTGAAGCCCGGTCCCACCTAGCTAAGGAACTAAAGGATGAGCTAATCAAGATGTGTGGGCTTTAGCCGGAGACCTGCACCTGTTCCAACCTGCACCCTGGAGCCCGCTCACTGACAGCGTGTTGGGTGTGCTAGGTGTGAGAGCACCAGTTGGGACCGGGGAGATGGCTAAACGAGCCGGGTTAGCCTTCCTGGTATCTTGGCTCCGAGCTACGCTGCTAACTAGCTTGCGTGCATGCTAACCAATTAGCGAGCCTCGGTTTAAAGCAGATGGATTAGGAGGACCTGATCCGGGACAAGCTGATGTGTCCACGTTACTCTTCCAAAACCCAGCAAACGAAATAAAACAAAACACCCTCCCAGTCACAGCCCAGCATCCACTCGCTGCCAGGGAAGCTGTTAAAACAATAGCGGATGTAGTACCTTTGTCTCCCCGATGTCCTGCTTCGCTCCTTCGGGGTACCACTGGACGCGGACGTATCCCCTACCGAGAGGCCGACTCGGGGTGTCCACGGCGCTCTCCGTGTCCGAACCGCACAGGACTCGTCCTCCTCCTCCCCCGCCGCCCCCGCCACCCCCTTCCCCGCCGCCTCTCCCTCCGCCGTCGTCCAGGTCCGAGTCTGAGTTGAAATCCTCCTCTCCGTGGATCATCCGAACGAGGCCAAACCGGACTGAACCGCGATACCGCCCAGAGACCAGGTCGTGGGAGAAGAGGAGCCGCTGGGAGCCCTCCGTGGCAGGAGATAGGGCCATGGACGGAGGCTCCGAGCCCGGGCTGGCTGGTGGGGAGAGGCCGGGTGTGGGTGATGCTGCCTTCGCTGTTTCATCTGATGTTCCGGGCTTCGCCATCGCTGCTGTTGTCAAGAAGTGATACAGAGCGCACGGATACGGCGGCGTGAAGAAGCTGAAACTGGAAGCAGCCGATCACACGTGTTTACGTAAGCTACGGACGGATACGTCTGGGGAGAACGTAATCACACAGTACCTCACGTCACCACTAAGAGGCGCTGTTTATAAAAAAAAAGTAAAGGTTTTTAGTGGAAATGAACGTTTATTGCTGTATTTTGTTAAAAACAAATAAATCTCACAAAATCATTATTGTTTTACTTCTCACGGAATTCTTAAATGACTTCTTACAAGAAAAAACATATGTCTCCATATAAACTTTACCCCGCTGAAGGTCTCTGAAACAGTTTATAAATGTAAATTTAAGGAGAACTTTCAAAGTATTTCAAATATAAAGAGTGATCTGGTTTAAATATTCAACTTGGATTGCAAAGTTAAAGATGCACGTGGCGATCTGAGCAGAATATTAAAGGCACAAATGTGTTTGCACGAAACATTCCTGTGTGTGTGCGTGCGTGCGTGTGTGTGTGCGTGTGTGTGCGTGCGTGTGTGTGTGTGCGTGTGTGTGTGTGTGTGTGTGTGTGTGTGTGTGTGTGTGTGTGTGTGTGTGTGTGTGTGTGTGTGTGTGTGTGATCTTCAGGTATTTGTTAAGGCTGCACCATCAGACTCACAAGAATAAGACCTCTCCAGAGCTGATTATGGGTGGACTGTCACACAAGATTTACAATGGAAAACAGCACATGGTACTTCTTCGGGTTGAATGCAATAGTATTCACCAAAAAAAAATTTTTTTTCTTACGATCTTTCATTTTCTGCTACGATGAATGATGTCTTCTGTCCAGTACAGATTTTTTTTTTTTCATTTTTTCATTTTAACTTTTCAATTTCACACCAGCCAGAATAACAGTGGCGATTAAAGTCCACATTAATGGGGATAAAATTCCCAATAAAATAAATGAGGCTTCCAAATACTGTAGGTGATCCAGAAAGATCTAAAATATCCAGAAAAAATTCTGAATAAAACTAAGTTGTATTCTGTAGTTTCTTTGTAATTTCTTAGTTTTGAACAGATGCAAACCCATGTGTCAAAACTGTTCTGGAATCAGCCCCACCAGTCTAACTATGGACGTGACTTCTCTGGTCTGAGCCCAAATCTGAGCAGTATTCTGGTTCTGTTCCATGTCTGACCTGCTGGGAGGCAGATAACAAAACTACATGTGATGGCGTTGCAATCTTTTTATATTGCCAACTCTCACTTGCCACATACATCTGAGACGGATTCTGTGTAAAAGTTATGAACAGTTATCTTAGCTGCTGTAGATAACTCCGAACAACAAGGTTAGGTTGGTTAGAACTGACCTGATTGATAAGCTAACAGCTAGACTCAGTGGAATCATAACCAAAGTGGATTCTAACTGAAAAACTCACCATGGTGTGCAGACAGTAGCCACGTTTACATGTACATATTTAATCGGATTGAATGCCCAATCAGATCGAAAATTCTGCATGTAAACATGTCAATCGGAATATTATGATCCGATTCGGCCCGATTGGATTGAAATTTCAATCCAATTGAGAGAGGTGGTTTATTCCGTTCTTCATTCCGACTGACGTGCATGAACACAGCCATTCGGATTGTCGGGGTAAAATAATGCCCACTGCGCATGTGTGCAACAGCGAGCGGGCCTCTCTGCTGTCAATTGGACTGCCTGACTTCAAAAATGACGGCGTAATTAACGAGCGGCGGCTTTTAAATACGATGACAAGCCGTCCCCGTTTCAGTAATATTTAATTCAGAACTTGCATTTTGTGGAAGTAAAATAAAAATCTGATTATTACACCAATCACTCGACAAACATGTTCAAATCTGTACTGGAAATACGCAGGTTTATTGCGGGGGTTGCAGCGCACGGATCCCCGTTTCTGTCAGCTTTGAACGCAGCAGCTTCTGCAGCAGGTGATGGAGATGCGCTTGTAAAGAACACAGGATAATGTGGGTTTTACAGACCTGATTGGAGGCTGATGTTGGGTAGGAAAACGTCCTCGGTTAAATTCTCTGGACGACAGTAAAGTCCGTGTTAAAAGCACGTAAATCTATCTCTACCCTGCCTTTTACATCAAAACTGCTTGAGAAAGTCGTTTATCAGCAGCTGGTCTCACATTTAGCTGACTCTGATCTGTTCGAGGTTTTTCAGTCAGGGTTCAGGTCTGGCCATAGCACAGAGTCAGCTCTACTGAGGGTCCTAAATGACATCTATCTATCACTAGATCAGGGTACATCTGTGGTGCTTCTGTTGTTAGACCTGACAGCAGCCTTCGACACAGTTGACCACGCGATTCTACTCGATCGCTTGGAACGATGGGTTGTTCTGGACTGGTTTAGATCGTATCTCCACAACAGGACATTCTGCGTTAAACTGGGTGATGTTTTTTCATCTTGGGAGGGGCTCCGCTGGGGAGTCCCGCCGGGATTGATCCTTGGTCCTCTTTTGTTTGCCATTTATCTGCTACCTCTGGGGTCAATCTTTCGTAAACATGGCCTATCATTCCATCTCTATGCTGACGATTGCCAGATTTACTCTCCATTGTGTCAGGAGAAAGGTCTCTCTATCCAGTCCTTTGTGTCCTGTATTAATGAGGTGAAGTCTTGGCTAATGGCCAACTATCTACATCTGAATGAGGGAAAGACAGAGCTCATTGTTTTTCACCCCAACAGCAGGAAAGTGGGTTGTTATGTTGATCTTGGCCCACTTTCTCCCTACTCAAAACCAGTTGTTACCAGTTTGGGGGTGAAACTTGATGCTGGACTTAAATTTGATGCTCACATCAATTCTGTGATCCGGTCCAGTTTCTTTCACCTGAGACGCCTTGCTAAAATCAAGCCTATGCTGTCGAGAGCCCACCTGGAGCGGGTACTGCATGCCTTTGTTATTTCTAGGCTAGATTACTGCAGCTCTCTCTATGCAGGGTTGTGTCAGTCATCACTCCGTCGCCTACAGGTTGTGCAGAACAGCGCAGCAAGGTTCCTGACTGGGACCAGGAAACGGGACCACATCAGTCCGGTTCTGGCCTCCCTGCACTGGCTTCCGGTTCGCTATCGTTCACAATTCAAAATCCTCGTCTTTGTTTATCATTTCTTCCAGGGTGGTGGTCCCCCCTATCTGGCCACACTCCTGAACAGACACTCCCCATCACGCGCTCTGCGCTCCTCTGACCAAGGCCTGCTCGCTGTCCCTCGTTCTAGGTGTCGTACTCGCGGGGACCGGGCTTTGTCAGTCCTAGCACCGTCACTCTGGAACCAGTTGCCACGCTCAGTTAGGCTGTCCCCATCTCTGCCAGTCTTTAAGAATCACCTAAAAACACACCTCCTCCGCTTGGCGTTTCCTGAACATGTTTGATTTTGGCCCTCTTTTATGTTGAATTTATTTCACAGTTTTCATTGGTTCACTCAATCCATTGTTTTACACATTTGTCCTGTACCAGAATGTTTCACCTATTTTGTAATTTTTATTGCTTTTATTTTTGATTTATTCAATATATTTACCTTCTACTGTACCATGTTCAGCGCTTTGGGCTTCCTGACAGGGTTGTGGAAGGCGCTTTATAAATAAAGCTTTGATTGATTGATTGATTGATTGATTGATTGATTGATTGATTGATTGTAAACGCAGATGACCTGAGATGCGGTTCGTCAAGGATGAACACAGGCTTCTAAACTTTCTGAACATCTTCTGTTATTTTGTTTGAACAGATTTTTCTCAACTGTTTCAGCTGATTGTCACATGTTATTAATAATAAGCCACAACAGAGCTCAGTAATAAAACATGAGTCTAACCCCCCCACCCCCGCTCTGTGCCGCAGCGCAGCGCAACATCACAGCTGTCACTTCAGACCCGCGGACCAGCTGATCCAGAGGCAGAGACATAACCCTCCCTTATTTTAATCAACAATAAAATGCAGCAAAGCATATATCTGCAGTTATTCACTGAAGAAAACGTAACTTCTATGAGCTAAATAAAAATACTAAATTGAATAAATGGATCAGGAAAGCAGGAAGAATAGTTATTTCTGTTTTTACATTTTTCATTTCGTTTCATGGCGTTTGTTTGCAATTTTTCTTTCGGGAAAGGCAACTCTGCGCATGCTCAACCTATTTAATCGGATTAAATGCTTGGTGCGTATGTACGCACGGCATGATCGGATCATTTCAGTTCGTGTCCATGTGAACAGAGATTCGGAAATTCCGATCAATCAAGATTTCAATCGGATTGAGGAAATTTGGCACATGTAAAAGCAGCTACTGATCTACAAACCATTAAATGTCACACAAATATTCCAGCAGAAATACGAAGTTCCCCGGGCCGCACCAGACGGGCTACAGCTAGCTGCTGCTAGCATCAAAATAATGAACTAACGTCTCAGTCGATGGGATTAAATAATAAAATCTGAATCACAAGCAGCTCTAAAACATTTGAGATTAGAGTTGTTGACGGAGGCGGCCATCTTCCTTTTGGTTAGTCCCACTGAAACTAGTGGTTAGCTCATCAATCTTGTTGCAACATTCTCCAAACTGAGGCTGTTCTGAGATTAGAGTTTATGTTTAATAATTAGTTGACTGACTACTAAACGATTCTTGGTAATAAACCACGTTCTGGTTGTTTTGGTCCCGTTTCCTTAGAGCCCATGTCTTATTGCTCCTACAGCTTCTCTTTTACTCTGTCCTCCAGGACGCCTTGACCCTCCACAAGCCTCACGGGACCACGATCCACATCCACGTCCTGGCCGTCCACCGCACCTTCAGGCAGCAGGGGAAAGGCTCCATCCTGATGTGGCGATACCTGCAGTACCTTCGCTGTCTGCCCTACGTGCGCCGAGCCGTCCTCATGTGTGAGGACTTCCTGGTTCCCTTCTACCAGAAGTCTGGTTTCAAGGTGAGGGGCCCCAGTGAGATCACGGTGGGGCCCCTCAGCTTCACCGAGATGTTCCACCCAGTGTGGGGCCATGCCTTCATGCGTCGAAACAGTGGATACTGAGAACAGGGGGGCTCTTTAGGTGGACTCCTCCTTGGTGACGGGACCTCGACACCTATTGGAGACAGGAAAAGGGAAGTGAGCCCATCTGTTGATCCCAGAGTTTGTGATCTTCACGGTGGGTGGAAGTCTTTCAGCCGGGGGCGACAGGAGAGCCTCCGGAGCTGAAAACAAGGAGCTGCCCTCCAGCTTTCACTGTTTGCACCGGATGTTTGAGACTGAAAATACATCAGGAGTCGCGTTTCAGCGTAAGAAACAAGTTCAGTAAAGCAAAGAGTGAAAGTTTTAATGAGTTTTGTAAAGAAAACAAGTTTTATTTGGGATATGGTGGACAATTAATGTATTAAAAATAATATTGCAGATTTGAAAAACGCTTTTCTAAGTCAAAAACTCCAAAGTGCTTTGCAATCCAATCACTCACACACCGATGGTGAAAACTGTAGCCACAGCTGCTTCAGGACACAGAGGCGAGGCTACCGCCCACCGACCACCACCATGATGCGTCTCTGTTCAAATGCAACATGAAATATGTACACCTGTACTTATTTTTGTACTGCATGTTTAGCTAGTTTATGTCCATGTGTTTTAAATACAAGCATATCAGCTGCTTTACAGTATTTAGTGATACTTCTCACCCTCTTTGCATGCAGGTGGAACCATAAACACCCTTGCATCTGTCTAATCAGATATCTCACAGGAATTAAGATACTTTTCAAAGGATTGGTGAAAGGTTAACAGGTTAAAGGTCAGGTTGTTGGTCATGATCAGACAATTAGAAGCACCTGAACAGGTTTGTCTCTTTAGGCAGGCGAGTTTTAATGGTGTAAATGAAGACATTCGTACAAATGTTTCTTTGAACAGACCAAACTAAACTGAGTTTAAAATCACATTTGACTCTTTCAAAATCACTTTTGTCATGATGTTGTTAATATAGAAATGTAAAGACTTAAAGTAATATGATTTAGGCAAATATCGATGAACTAAAGTTAACGGTTGTTTTTTTTAATTTACTTTTATTTTTTTTTAAATTGCCTTAACTCATCAGACAGCACCGATATACGCCGCTTTTAGGTTGTTTAGATCCAAAGTAGTTATTCGTTGAAAAAAATCACCCACAGATAAAAATACATAACGGGTTTTTAAAAGGAGGTCTCGTGTAACACTACTACATTCTCAAAGAGGGCGAAATTTGTCCAGCATAAGTTTTGTTTCTCATGTCGAAAATTCAACAAAAACACAAGAACATTTCTTTTACTTTCTCAGTAAAAGTGCTGCTGTGAAGCATCATGTCTTATTTAATTATTTTCTGCCCAATTAAGTAAAAATATTCCCATTGTTCCAAATATAATATGAAGTGTGACATAAATTATGTTTACATGCGTTTCACCGGTAATTTTTCAATATTATCGCATTTCCATAAAAACAAATGAGGGAACACATTCTTATGACCTGAAATTTAATGTCCCCACCTGACCCCTGACCGGATCCAAAAGGTAGACGTCTTGGATTGTTTTTCACTGGCGCCCTCTGCTGTCAGAGAAAGTACACAACAACTGAAGCCTCGTTCTGCCACAGCTTTTTTTCTATTGGCTACTTTCAATCATGTGATCAAAACAGAGTCATGGCGGCGTCTGCAGCTGCCCGGACGAGCATTGGTTTAACTTTGAGGTTTCATCGAGTAATTCCGGACTGTAGCAAATGCCCCCTGTACAGACTAAAGAGCTGTACCAGCAACAGAGCTAACCCCCAAAGAAGAAGCTCATTTAATAGCTTTCGGACGATGAATCGGCATCTGCAGACGAGTAAATGTAAGTGATTCTGTTTGCTAACAGTTAGCATTAGAGGTTCATTCGTCCTTTCGAAGTGTTCTTACGACACAATCATTACGTAGTCGCGAATCACCTCATTTCTTTGAATGCGTTTGAGGTGTTAACCCTGCCTGAAATGTTTTATTTGCCTAAGAAACGTCACTATGAAAACTCTTAACACGTGTAACTTTAAACATGCTAAACTTCTGCAACTCGTTTATTCTTTTCCTCTGGTGGGTTTGATGCGAAAACGAAAACATTGATTTTCTTTTTCTAAAGGTCTTTCCCAGGCCCAGGAGGGTAGCTCCAACTCAGAAGACCCAGATGATGTGTGAGTCTGCCAGAGCTTTTATTGTGAAATGTAGCCAGAGCTGCTGCTCTAGACCAGGCGCAGCTAACAGGAAGTCAATATGTGCACGTGCACCGTAAAGTTGAACCTACAAAATAAACGTATTTCCGCTGTTTTTCTAGAAACATTTGTATGATTGCAAGAGAAAAAGTTAGTGGATCGTTAACATTAACAGCTTTAGTTTGTGGACATAAAAATGAAAATATCAGATGCTAATAGTTAAAATAGTTCATTGGCCGGTCTGCAGTCTACATTTATAAAAGGAAATGACATTAAGTTAATTATAATGACTTGTTTAATACGGTTATAATCAAAGCATTCAGCTTATAATCAAAGTTTTAATCTCACATTTTAAAGAATTGATTTGATCATTTTTATTTGCGTTTTTTCAAATAAGAGGAAATTTCCTATTTCCATGAGTAAAGAGTTCATCATCTTTATCCATAAAGCACTTTCTCCGAACCATCACAGTTGGCCTAAGTGTTGTACACAACAATTAAAGTAATTTTAGAATCTACAGTGAGCTATAGATGAATCCCAAAAGTGTCAAAGAGATTTTGTTACATATAAGAATCAAAAGCTAATTAGTAGAAATGAGTTTTCAGCCACCTACCAACATCTGGAGAGTTGGAGCTTGTCTGGCTGTGTGGGATACAATTCCACTTAATATTTGTACAAAGTCCGTGTAATCCTCCTTTCGCCCTAACCAAAGCCTCTCATTTGTGTGCCACTGTAGTATTAATGGTACAGTGATCCCTCGTTTATCGCGGTAGATGCGTTCCAGATCTGGCCGCGATAGGTGAAAATCCGTGAAGTAGGGACACCATATTTACAGTACAGTACTATATTGAATTATCGTATGATCACGTTCTCTTTTTGTGGGTAAAACTCAAAAAAAAAATTTTTTAACTTGTTTTTTTATAGTTTTATTACAAAAAGTGCATTTTATGATGAAATTGATGAAAAAAACAGGAATTTCTTGATATTTCGCATAGAAAAATACCGCGAATCGGCGAATTTCCCTTGAATAAGGCTCCAAAGAAAAAATCCGCGAAGTCGTGAATCCGCGATAGACGAACCGCGAAGTAGCGAGGGATCACTGTATTTTATATTTTTAACATATTTAATTTTCGATAAAAAGGACTTTTCTTCCCTCCCTCTTAGAGTTAATGTGGTGTTCATAGACCGGTCTGGCAAGAGGATCCCCGTTAAAGGCAAAACGGGAGATAACGTCTTGTTTCTGGCCCACAAACATGGAATTGAACTAGAAGGTAAGGGTTTAAAATCTGGATTAAACCAGCTGCTCAGATATTTGCTGATATTTTACATGTTTTTTTTTGTTTTAGGAGCCTGTGAGGCGTCGCTGGCCTGCTCAACGTGCCACGTCTACGTGAGCGCAGCTCATTTCGACAAACTGCCAGAACCAGAAGAAAGGTAGGGGCAAACTGAGGCTTTGTGACGGTGACTACACAGGAAACAATGACTGGTGTCTCCGTTCCCAGAGAGGACGACATGCTCGACATGGCGCCCATGCTGCAGGAGAACTCCCGACTCGCATGTCAGATCGTTCTCACTCCAGACCTCGATGGGATGGAGCTCACCCTGCCAAAAGTCACCAGGAACTTCTACGTGGACGGCCATGTCCCCAAACCTCATTGAATGGAGCCACAGATGATAAAGGGGAGGGGGGGTTGTATCTAAAGATGTGAGGCTTTTGCTGTGTGCTGGCTGAGAGGTGGGATGACTGAAAAGATTTACGACTAGGATAGTAATGTGAGCAGCAACTCCCAGGAAGTGTCACTGACGTCAGCACAGACCTGCAGCGGAGAACAGGCCAAGTCCTCAAACTACACTAGTCCCACTGGAGTTGGTCTCCATGGTTACATGCACAGAGAAACTGATGATGACTGATGATGTATTTATTTATGTGAGGAGTTCTCAGGCTTCAGTCTCAGAGACCTGAAACATCAGTCAGATCGAGATTATCTCTGAACGGAACATTCCTTGTTACAGCTTTTATACGCACAAGAATCCCAGAATAATCCTCATGACCATTATTGTCCTGATTTATGTCGCATATGCATATTGTTCACTTTTATGTACCATATTCATCTGTAGATGTTTCAGTGTTTTGTTGAATTAGTCCTAAAAGTCAAATTTCAGAAAAGCTTTCCTTCTTTAGTCGGACCGAAAAGCCATAATCTACAATAAAGTAACTGATGCTTAAAGGTGGATTAACCACAAAACTGAACAAAGGGATGAAGTCTGTTCATTCGAAACATTTCAGAACGTTCTGGTGCCCCATTCAGCTGTGGCCTGATCCAGAGCCGGAAGTGTGCGTTCTCCATCAACACAGTAGGGGTTTACCATGTCTACCTTTGACTCAAGTCTATTTGTCCAACACGCACAAATGGAAGTGAATTTTCTCTTATAATTGCAAATATTTCAAGTTGTACAATTAAATATTTCTTTGAAAATGGTTTTAAGCAGATTGCATTCATTCACTTGCATTTTTAATGAGTGGGATTTCTAGTTGATTGCCACGGATTAGGATTAGTTTGTTGGACATAAACTCGGTGGCTTGTAGGTGTGTTTGACACAGACTGAGCAGCTCTTTGTACCTGCCCAGCTGTAATCTAGAGAACAGAAAACACCTGTGTGGCTGGCTTCTGCAGCTCCACAACGCTGCACCATGCACACCATGTAAGTCTCTAAAGAAATGTTATTTAGGTTTCAGTTTTACACCAACATGATCATCTAAGGTGAGTAGAGAGATTTTCAGCCAGGGGGGCTTTTAGCCACAGAAAGCAAAATAAAACCACCTAGAACTTTTTAGGTGAGTCCTACAACCACTTCGATTCACCTAAAATGCGATAAAAACACGAAATATCGTGAAACGTCATAAGACAACCTTCCTGGAAATGATCAGTGGGAGTCTTCTCTATTAAAATTACTCAAAGCTCCTGTCGTTCTAAGTCCATCTAAAGCTCATGAATGAGGTCTAAAGTAGCAGACGATGGAGAATCGGAAAGATGCATTTTTCAAATTGACCACGCGCGACATCAAAGTCGGAGAACCGCCAAAACGTCCGACGTTCTAGAACGAAGAAACTGCAACATTTGAGTTGTAGAACGCGATTAAACTCGACCACAGCTTCGAATAGCGAGTCTCGTTTCCTCAGGTGAGTTCAAACAAAGTCGCATTTAGTTAAAGGGGGCATTTCTACGTTTGTGTAACAAAGGCTAAATGTTTTTATTTACCCTGCTAACATGTGTGGTTAAAACATTCCTCCCAACTATCCCAGTTGGCCCAGTTTCATTGAAATTCGTGCCCATTTACTCCAAAACCTGCCGAACCTTCTTGACCGGCTCGTCTTACTGCGGTTTCATTGTAAAAAGGAGGGAAACAAACAAATGGCTTATTAGCAGGCAGTGGTTTATTTATATAAACAGTCATCTAAGCCGGCGGGTATTGTTCTCTAGTAAAGTAGCACCACTTTTATTGGAGTAGAAGTAAAAAGTAGTCATCAAAACGACTCAAGAGTTAGAAAAAGTTGATGTGTTTGATCATAACAGTTGATTTAATTTTTACAATTATTTAAACAAATACAAAATAATAGAAATTAATTTAAACATGTTTGTGGTTCAACAAACAAAACAGAAAATTAGTAAAAAATAAATAAATAAACACACACTACCACACACAAGCAGGAGAAATAAAAAAATTTTTTTTTACAACAAAACATTAAAAACCAATCCTTCCAACAGGTAAATGTCCAACTGACCATATATACCATTTACTGTAGATTCACCTGATAGAGTAGATATACTTCATACTCTCATCAAAGTAAAACAATGCAGTGAAATTATTAGAAGTACTTTAATTTTCATTTAGAAGATATTTGGAAGTCCAGCTCTGTCCTGGGCTGTCCTCTGGACTCTACAAGAGGTGGGGGACAAGATGTTTCTGGAAGAACTCAGATCAGCGCTGGACCATGAGTCTCACCCCCTGCAGGACGCTCTGTCTGCTCTGGAGAGCAGCTTCAGTGACAGGCTGATCCGTCCTCGCTGTGTGAAGGAGAGATACCGCAGGTCTTTCCTTCCAGCAGCTGTTAAGCCCCATTCCCATCTGTACCGGGTCGGCCCGGGCCGGGTAGCGTAGGTTGTTTACATATCTGGGTGGCCTGGTATTTTTCCGGGCCAACCAAGGCTCATTCTCAGCCCTCTTCTCGAGGGGGTCTGCTTCAGGCCGACCAGGGCCAACACGCCCACTGCTGACAGCAAATTCACGCCTTCCATTAGAGCAAGCCTCTGATTGGTGGGTAGAATCAGCCCACATGGGCTTAAGGCATGCTCAATTCATTATCATTCATTATCATGCTGATTACCCAGACGCTGGAAGTGTCTCTGACTGCATTCCTTGCATACCTAAGCAAGGATGTGTGGAATCAACCGGGCCAGGCTGGGGCCGACTGGAGCTATCTGGGCCGGGCTGACCCGGGGTGGGGAACCCTGGTCCATCGAGGGCCGCTATCCAGCATATTTTAGTTTCAACCCTGCATCATCACACCTGATTTCAATCAGCAGGTGATTAACAAGCTTCTGCAGAGCCTGATGAGCTGCAGAACAGGTGCATTAAACACCAAAATAGAAGTGCTGGAGCAAAGACATGCAGGACACCGGCCCTCGACGACCAGGGTTCCCCACTCCTGCTCTAAATAATGGTCACTGAATGGAGCCCATACATCTGTAACTTTCCATGCCTAATATCACCAACATGTGCAATATTTCCATTACTATCGTGTAATAATTACCTTGATTATCTTAATTTACAATTATACTCTCACGTGATATCTTTTGTGTGCCACTGCTGCTGTCCTCGAGCTGTTGCTACAATGCATTTTCCCCACTGAGGGAAAAATAAAGCTATACTTTCTTATTCCCAGAGGGAATTTAGGTATTCTTGTTATAAATAATTGGTTATAGCTTAATTTGTTTTTATTTAAAATGCAGCAACTCCCTCAGCATGAGCTCTGCACGACAGACCGAAGCTGGATTTATCCAGGAATCCCAGAACACAGCTGACGTCAACGGTGCAGATTCAGCGCTCTTCTACCTCTTCCAGGAAGTCTCCAAACTAGCGTCGCCCACTCATAACAGCTGCTTGGATTCAAATCCATCCTCCAAATGGCTTAAGGACACATCAAAGAGGTACATTTTTAATCATAAAAAGGAAGAAGAGGATGAGAAATCACGCAAAGCCTCTAGTGGTCGTGTGGAGGATTGTTTAGTAATGGAAAAGGACGGCCTGGTGTACAACAATGTCTCAACCCGGGACACACCACAGGAACGCAGCAGTCCGTGGAAGGTTCTGAACCTGATCAACCTGCACTGTGAGAGACTCCTACAGAAAGATGTTGAGCTGAACTCAACTTTAAGATCTTCCACAAAATCTTGCCACCTAATGACCACATTAGCTGTCTCAGATGTACGTGATGGAGTTCAGAGGAACAGCGTTCCTGTCGGAAGACAAGGGCTTGCAGCATTTACCACTCCGGATCTTAGGCTGAAGGGCTCAGGGGACCATCGTGTACTCCAGAGCTATGATGAAGATGAGGAGTGTGGTGTGCGTGTTCAGACCTCTGAGAAAACAGGCCCAGGTACCTCGAAGCTGCAAAAAGACAGTTCGTCTGAGTCTTTGCAGCCTCTGAGTAGATACAGAGCAGAATCCAGCATTCACACATCTTTAGTTTGGAGCCAGGAGGCTACCAGGGAAGATCATCTTGGTGTTCTACTTACTAAAAAGTCTTTACACGGAGGACAGAGCCCTGATGCATGCCCAAACACCCCGATGACCTTTGGTTCAAACAGTAACGTGTGCACAGATCAGTCAAACGCAAACATGACCTTACCTACATTTCTGCTCCCCGCACACTCTGAAACCTTCAGATTTGACACTACAGACCGCTGCCGGGCACTTCTAGAGCAAGGTGACAAGTTCACCACATCTAAACCTGGCTGTAGTAAAACTCTCACAGAGGAAAAGTCTCCTGCAGCCCACCACCTGAAATCCTCAAGCTGTGAGCCTGCAACATCGCCGTCGGACGTTTGGGTGTTGCAAACGGATCTTCCTCCTGCCCACCAGCGTCGACCCAGGACTCGACGAAAACAACCCTGTCCCTCTCGCAGCGCAGACATTCAGGACCCAGACTTCCAGGGAGTGACGTTCAGGATAGACACAGAACTGGATGGCACCAGAGGGCAGTCTCGGCTCCTCATTACATCCAAGTACAGGTTTGGAAAGCTATGGCGTGTGTATAAGTATATATTTAATCCTAATTTTAGGTAATTTATTGATTTTGTTCCCATCACAGCAAGGAGCTCTGCAAGAGGGTGCGAAAGCCAAAGCTGAGGACCAGAACTGCCCAGAAATCTGTAAAGTCCACCAGCTCAGAAGAAGATAACGACCTTGCAGCTAATGCCATGAGTAACACCTGATTGCCTGACACTGTTTATCAGAGATTTACACAAAACAAATAAACACAAAGACATATTAAAATAGCTAGCCTCAGCAACAAAAGGAAAATCCATCAGAGGAAATGGTGTTTTAAATATAACGATTAAATAATAATGTTCTCTAGTCAAAGCTCCAGCAGTAGCTTCTCGCATATATATATATATATATATACATATACATATACATATGTATATGTATATATATATACATATACATATGTATATGTATATATATGTATATGTATATGTATACATATGTATATGTATATGTATATACATATATACATATGTATATATACATATACATATGTATATATATATATATACATATACATATACATATGTATATGTATATGTATATATATATATATGTATATGTATATGTATATACATATATATGTATATGTATATGTATATATATATATATATATATGTATATGTATATGTATATACATATATATGTATATATATATATATATATATATATATACATATATATATATATATATATATATATATATATATATATATATGTATATGTATATATGTATATGTATATATATGTATATGTATATACATATGTATATGTATATGAGGAAAATAGCCCACTAGGGGGTGCTGCTAGATCCCCCCAGGCACAAACACCATAAAGTCTGTTTCACAATTAAAAATTTTATTTCCAATCAGAGACCAGATGTGTTTCCATCTGCTATGACATCCACAAAAATCCCTCTTAATTAACCTGAAATGTTGTATAGAACCCACAACAGACGCATTAACTCATTCACTGCCAGCCGTTTCCTGATCGCTAACGGCCTTCGCTGCCAGCGTTTCTCACCGTTTTTACTGTTTATTTAAGAGTCACAGAACGTTGCGCGCTAGCATGATGTCGATGCCAAAAACACCAAAACAAAGAGGAAACTCACCTCTTACATCAGGAAGAAGCCGCGTGTTTCGAGCGTTATCCGTTCTTTCATAATCCGTTGTTGAATTGTGATTGGCAGACGCTTTTCCTGTTCGCGCCTCACTTTTTTTACAGGAACGGCCCAAAACGATCTCCAAACACATGGATGTGTTGCTTCCTGATCATGTGACGTGTTACGTATGCGGATGACGATCGGCTTCAGGGCTGAGATGTTTGTTCTCTCAGCGCGGGGGATCGTTCCGATGCTCAAACAGTTAAAAAATGCAAATGTCGTCATTGGCAGTGAATGAGTTAATAATCTAATCTAATCTGATGTACACATGGTTTATACATGCCATAAACATCTACTGAGATGTGTTAAAGTTACATAGTTTATTAAATGAGAGCAGTGTACACACGCTAAGCGTGATGCTAAGATGTGTGTATTAGTCTGTTTTTCACTTTTTCTGTATATTGCAGTTTGGGCAGCAGTAGCTCAGGAGGTAGAGCAGGTTGTCCAGAAAGATTGCCGGTTCAATCCCGGCTCCCACCAGACAATTCTGCTGTCGTGTCCTTGGGCAAGACACTTAACTCTCCTTGCCTGCACCTCTGTCAGTGCGCCCCAGGGCAGCTGTGGCTTCATCGTAGCTCATCCCCGTGTGTGTGTGTGTGTGTGTGTGTGTAGATGACTGATTGTGTAACTTGTGAAGCGCCTTTGGTGTTGTAGAACCCTAAGAAGGCGCTAAACAAATGCAGACCATTTACCATTTAAGGTGGTAAAACATTTATAAAACTCTTCAGTTAAGAACAACAAAAAGATGGAAGTTTACTTTGCAAAATAATTACGAGCAGATAACGAATGTCTTGTGTGTATATCACCAGGAGGCAAAGTGTGTGCGTCGTGCTGCACCAGGAAGACGCCCATGTGGAGGGATGCCGAGGACGGCACTCCGCTCTGCAACGCCTGTGGGATAAGGTAGCTTTCAGTAACGTAGCCCTGTTCACGAAACCTCCTAAAACCTCGGGAGGTTCCTGCTTGTGCATTTAAAAGTTCCATACATTTCTTTAAGTATTTTAAATAGCTTCTTGTTTCCCATCAATAACCTTTTCATAACGCCAGCCATGCACTAATCAGTCTGAAGAACACATTATTAAATGCTCCATAGTAGCTCGCTGCACCAAGGTTGCAGGTTTGATTCCTGGCTGCAGCCTTCCTGGGTGGAAGTTGGCGTGTTCTCTCCAATGCATGCATTTGTTTTTTCTTCCACACAGACAACAACATAGCCTAGTGAACTAGACCAAAGTCTTGCTTTGCAAAGTTTGGTCTAGGCATGCTCCATTGGAACCTCAGTAGCTCCTACCAGGACTCTGGCTAGCCAATCACAGCTCTCTAGAGGGGTTTCAAACACATAAAGAGCTGTGATTGGTCCATAATGGTGGGCCAATAATACATTTATTTAGTCTGGCTTGCCACATGCATGTGAGGTTAATTGGGTGCTCTAAATATCCCCTAGATGTGTGTGTGTGTGTGTGTGTGAATGGTTGTTTGTCTCTCACCTGATGACTGCTGGAGCTGAGTGACGATGGAGCGGTTTAGATAATGGATGGATGGACCCCAAAAGGGTTTTAATGAAACATTTTACAGCTGCTGATGTTCTGCAAGTGTGCTTGTTTGGCTTTAATCCCACGTTTATTATTGTCCAACTGTTTCAGGTATAAGAAGTACCGAGTGCGCTGTGTCAAGTGCTGGCACATCCCCCGGAAAGAGAGCAACTCCAGCTCCATCTGCTTCAAGTGTGGAAACTCGGTGAAAGTGTCCTCAGCTCAGAGGAAACAAAGCGCTTAGAGTGAATGCTGGTTTGAGTTTGTGGGTTACCTGTTCAGATATTCTTACGGTTCAGTAGTGATAAGATTGTAAAAAGAAAAAGCATGATTTAATAAGAAATGTTCTAAAATGTGAAACTTGGATATCTGCCACAGTTTTCCCTCGTTTGTTCGTGTTCCTTTTATGCATCTGTTGCACGTTTTCCTTTTGTCTTGGTGGAGAAAACATCACATGCAGAGCACCCAGATGTTTTAGGAGAGCTGAAGTTCTTTTTTTTTTTTGGGGGGGGGGGGGGGGGGGGGGGGACAAAACAAAAACAAACACATGGCACAATTATTGGAAGGTTTAGCCAGGATTGTTGGAATGTTTATTTAAAACCGTGACCTGCGTGGGAAAGGTCAACAGTGACAGGCGTTTTTGTGCAGGCACCGTTACTAATCTGACTCTAGAAACACCGTCTAAGGTCAGGTTTTATCTGCACAAGTTTCTTTGTATGTTGTGTTTTTGCATTGAATAACCATTTTCCCTTCTGAAGGTAGACTTTGGTATGTGTTCATGGGCTTTTTTTTGTAATACATCCCAAATGAATCGTCTGAATGTGTCCCGAGTCTTTCATGTTCGTAACTGAATAAGCAAAGCTGACATTAATTTTAAACTATAAGTGTAATAATCAGAATTTGTCACATTTGGTGTGCTGACAAACCCTTTTACGTACAATAGGTCTCCACTTAGATGTTTATAATGCTCATTACACTTACAAGGTAACTTAGTTTGAAATATTTACCATAGCAACTAGGTCAACAGATTTGGCTCACTCTTTGGTAAGTAGTTTTGTCTCTTTCCTGCCTTTCGTGCATAACAAACACAAGAATGGTTGACAGTCATTAGTCATCATCACTGTTTGAATAACATCTCTGCGTTTGACCCATCCCCATGAGGAGTGGTGCGCTGCAGCAGTGGCTGCGCCATGGAACTATTTGGTGGTTTAAACTAGAAGAGAGCCGTTTAAAAGACTTGACTCGTTTGGTGTTAAAACGTGCTTCTTAAAGACAAAATGAACGATTCACCACTAAGACTCGATTCCCACCGTTCGCTTTGAAAACCCATTCAAAAGATTTGATTCGTCCATGAGCGCCACATCATTAGTTCAAACTATGGGGCAGTAAAAAGGAGCCGTAGCGCACCCCACTTTTTCACTCAATCAACTCGCTGCACAATAAAAGATTAAACCGTTAAGAAAAGTGAAATCAACTGGCTGAAAAAAAAAAGCTAAAGAAAAAAACTGCTTTTGGCGCCATCTAGTGGCAGGAATACAGACAAGATAAAACCTGTACAGTGATCTGAGAGATGACCCTTTCTCACATTTCTGTCAGTAAACAGTAGCTTTTGTTAGTTTTTGTTAGCCACAAAGATGCTCGCTGGGTAGAACGTTGACAAGCACACCTGTTTCACTCAGGATGACTCACAGAAACTGAAACAACACCGAACCACAGCAGTTAAGGCTCATCTGTGGCTTTCATAGCCTCGCTGAAGCTGGGATACAAATGTTTGACGACCATCTGAAATTTGCATATTAGGAAAGTTCAGAGTCAGAAACGTTGACTGAACTTCACAGCCGCTGCAAAACCCAACTTGGAATGAAAATATTTAGTAGCTCTGAACCTTTCTCTGCAGAAAAACCTTTGAACGGCTTCTGCTTGCAATAATCTGGCCTCCCCCATTTACAAACATGTAATCTCAGCCTACAGAGATTAAGCAAGCTCCCTCCATCGCACAGAGGAGTCCCTGGGTCATGCTGACAGGGCCTCCAAATCCAGTGTGAAACACACACCTTTGACTGTCTTCACACACACTCGCGCTACACCTCCAATTTCTCACTCTGAAAAAAGTATACAGGGCACGCCTTGGCTAGTAGAAATTAGCCATTAGCATTAGCAACTCCACAACGCAGCATAACTCCTTCAGGCTTGTTATTTGTGAAAATAAAACCTCAATTGTGCAGAGCTAACAGAGTCAGTGTTAAGTCGCATTGCTATTAGCCAATCAGAGGAGAGATGTGCAAACATCAGAAACTGATGATGAGAAAGACTCCGAAATCTGGCGTTTTCTGCTCCAACGAACTTATAAATCCTTAAACAGGAGTGAGAGAGCTTTCTACCTACAGAGATCATCTGACATGGTGTTCATTTACAGATGCGACTCTAAAAATGAGAATTTAATGCAAAAGTACATTTTTGTTGGTAACCCAGTTTAAACTGAGAGACCATCTAAAGGCTTAAGACCCTTTGTGGGTGCTCTGGATTCATTCGCTGACACGTTGAGTCCAGAATTTTGAATGTTGTAATTGTCAGAGATTTTGCATTTGGGGTTTTCATAAGCTGTGAGCCATAATCATATGCTGGTGAAGGCTCTCAGTCATCCAGGTCATGATAATCCGAATGGTTCAAATGAAGGCAACTGGACTCGAAGACGTTTCGCTTCTCATCCGAGGAGCTTTGTCAAATCTGACTGGAATATGGGAAAGTAAAGCTTATAAGCTGTAGCTGTCTGTTGTTGTTTAACGAGCCGAAACTCATTTGAACCCTTTGGAAAGCCATAATCATCACAATTATAATAAATATAGGCAGAAATATCTGGATTTGCATGAGTCTGTCTCATGGATTAGTTTCCTTTTAGGTTGAATTACTGACATAAATCAACTTTAGATTCACATCCTATTTGTTTATTTTTTTATTTTTCCAGTAGACTACTGCAAGTGCATTGAACAATGAGCGAAACACCCCCCATGCGAGAATATGGAAAGCGATGCTGTGTTTCCTATTATTACAGAACAAGGGTTAAAAACAGGTCCCAGTCCCTCCGTCACGCTGTGGACACACCAGTGGAATCTGGACCAGGATGAGTAGGATGATGAGAAATCTGAGAGAGAGGCACTCAGTGTGAGGCTGATGTTCCACATACTTATCCAAACACACACACACACACACACACACACACACACACACACACACACACACACACACACACACACACACACACACACACACACACACACACACACACACTGGCTCTATTGTCAGAGCTCATCATCTGACATGAAAATATTTGTATCCGTGCTGCCAGAAGTGGAAATGGACGTGAGGTTGTTCTTGTAAGGTTCTGCACGTAGTGACATATCAAGGTCAGAGGTCAAATGATGAGTCAGCCCAGGTCTGCACACCACTCTTTACTCTGCAACGGATCTGGCTGATGGAACACCTGTTTACTAGCTGTTGTATTCATGTCACTGTCAACATCATTTAATAGCATTCGGTGTGTTGATGTCATGTTCCGTGTCCTTTCGGTCCCCGGCCCCCTCCAGGTCTCCCTCACGTCCCCTCAGTCACTTCATACTTAGTTATCCCATCCCTTTTAGTGTTAGTCTTCCCATAGATTCCCTCTCTTTGGTTCTTGTCTCTTTAGTTCCCCAAGTTAAAGGTCTAGTGTTGTTTGTTCTGATGTCTAGTTTCAGGTTTATTAGTTCACTTATCTTTAGTTCTCTGTATATTTATATTATATCTAGTTAGTATTTCCTTCTTAGCACTATGTGTTCCTTCCCCACTAAGGCCTAGTCCACACGTAGCCGTTTTTTTTAAACGAATATCCGCCCCTCCAAAAACTTGCATCCACACCACCTCGTTTAAAAAAAAAACTCTGTCCACACGTACCCGGATAAATACGTTGTTAAGGACATGCCAGACCTGTAGGCGGCAGTACTTCCCCCGTTCTTAACCTCGTCCTTCGTCTGTGGTCTTCCGCAAGGAGCAGGAATTCCGCTTGCAAAAACAAACAAGCAGAAAGCGCTTGGACAATTGATAAAGCGAGCGCAGCTCTGAGGGCATCCATGCTGTCGGCTAGTGTAAACACAGGTCGCACACGTGATGTCAGCATTTTTTTGTCGCGGAAAGTGACGTTGCGGACCTTAAAACTCCGGTTTTGTCTGTCCACACGCAGACACCCAAAACGGAGAAAACGCAGATCTTCACTTTGGTCAGAGTTTTTAAAAAGATCCGTTTTCGTGTGAAAAAACTCCGTTTTCGTGTGGATGACAGGCCAAAATGTAGAAAAATATCTACGTTTTGGCAGATCCCCGGCTACGTGTGGACAGGGCCTTAGTTCATTAGTCTCTCCTTATCCCTTCAGCTCACACTCCCCACACACCTGCTACCTGTTTCCCTGATTGCTTCCCTCTGCGTATAAAACCCTGTCTTGTCTCTCGTGTGTCGGTCCATCGTCTTTGTTAGTGTTGTTTTGCACCCCTCCAGGAACTCTAGGCTCTTGCTCCTAAGTGAGCTTTTGACCTTTTGCCACTCAGTGTCTTTGTATATTAGGCTTGGCTTCCTGCCCCTTTTGGAGTTTTGCTCATCGTCCTAATAAAAGGATTTTTTATTTATGCAACTGCTCCTGCCTGAGAAGTTTCTGGGTTCCTGCATCCCATCGTGATAGTTCATGCAGACACCAGAGACCTAAAGGTCAACTGAACTCATATTGGTATTACATTTGCAGTGATCTCTAGTAAAAGTTATTGCCTTCTAAGTCGCTCTCTGGGAAAGAAACGCTCCGGTGTGCCTGTTTGAGGATGTAGAGTCAGCTGGAGGAGAAAGTAGCTTCAGATGACAGGATTTGGACCCTCATTTCCTGTTATTCTGACATCTCGCCTCTGATTTGCTAACAGCAACACGACTCTACCACTGACTCCATTTGCTCGGCGACATTGATGTTTTATCTCCACTAATTACACAAGCCAGAAGGAGTTCTGCTGTTTGGTGAAGTTGCTAATGCTAATGGTTAGCTTATCCGCTGTTTCCTGGATGCTAAACCAACAACAGCATTCCCCGTCACGAGTCACGATGGGTGAGTCCATGAACAGTAATGTAGATAATGCAGGAGACAGGTGTAGGAGACTATTTTCATGTTCAGCTTGCATGAAAAACTGAGTGACCGCTCATTTTCCGTAATTTGTAAGAAATGGTTTCTCAGTGAAACCGCTCTTTAAGTAATATAAACTGAAACAGACGGTGCTAAAAGCTGGGGACTGATGGTGTTGGAGCTCTTCCTGCATTCTGCTGATGGGACCAGTGTTGGGAATGAGTGATCTACCAGAAACGGTGAAGCACCACAGAGTTGATGTCCTTTAGATCTGAACTCTGACTGATTCCTGATCAGATTGAATGTAATATATTAAGGTTTCGCCCTTTCTAATCTAGAACACAGCATTTTGGAGAACCTGTTCAGGAGCTCTGAAGCATCCAGAGTAATGAGAGCAGAGAAGCTCAGATAAGTATTCAGGTGCATTGTGGGAGAATCCACTTGGTCTTTCAGTCCGAGACACGGTGTTGTGCAGCTCTTCTGCCTCCGGAGGAATGTGGAGTATGTGTGCCATCAAGGAAGCTATCGATCGAGCCCGCTACACTCTGATTAGCTCACATCCCATCTGAGTCAGTCTTTTCTCAGATTAAAGACAATTAAGGAACCTTTTTTTCTCACCTCTCCATTGCTTGCCCTTAACTTTTTGTCCCTGCACTTCCTCTCTCCCTCACCTAAATCCTCAGAT